TATTTTGCAGAGAACGTTGGTACTGGGAAAGTACTTGACTACAACACTGCTGTGACGATGTAGTACTCTAAACCCTCAAAGCGATTTACCAGAGAGAAATGACGGAAACAATTCTTGGACTGCCAAAACACTCTCCAAGTGTGCGCATGTTCCCAGGCACTAGCTAGAGAGCTAGTGAATTCTCAACAAATGTGGTATTAAAAAACAAGTACATTTTAATTGTAATTAAATTAACCTTAAAACCCTGAGGTGTATGTAAAATCATTTTGAAATCGAAAGATTTGGAACTGTTAGGGCTATACTAATCAATTTTCCTCAGGCCAATATGTAGGGGAGGTGTTATCAAACAAATATTGACCAGCTGACTGCTTCATCTTGTGGTGTAGTAAAACTAGTCTCCCTCAGTCATCTGTGATTTATTCTATTCTCCCAAGGTTTCTCCTCAGGAAAAATCAAATGCGTCATGGATCACTTCAGGAGGCTGGTTCACTCCACCACTCAAAGCAGCCAATATCTGTATATACTACGATGCCCACTTTTACCCATATTCGCCCATATTCACTGTCCTGTCCTATTCACGATGCTGGCGAGGTCTCAATAATTCAACGACCATGACATGATTTCTTCCGCTCAACACTAGACACTATTTTGTTTGAACTGTGACAAAGGTCAACACTTCCGCATGTGCACAATGAGCAGACCTTGATTAAGACAAGACACCACCCACAATCTTTGGTGGTGCCCATTCAAGCACCCAACAGACAACTATGTCGCCCTCGTCCGGTTGTGCACGGAGAGAACGTCAACCTCACCTTTCCATCTGCTCCTTGATTTTCTCCCGTGCCAGGAACTGCGCGTCTTTCCTGATTTCCCGGATGGCCCCCTTCATCTCGCGCTTGTAGTTATGCAGCAACCTCTGTTTCTCGTTCTTGGCGCTGCCCGCATTCTTTCTCTTCTTGCGGACGGGGTCATAGCTGCAGCAGTTGGAAAATTGTGGAACAAAAAATAAAACTGATGCTTAGACCTTTCAGTAGCTTATCCCTGGCATGAATTTTAGACAAGCGTCTGACCATTTCTTTTTTAAAAGTGTTTCATTATTAATTGAACTACTTGCTTTATGGTTGATACCTGATAATGCATTTTCAAAAAATGACTAAAAAATCAAAACTGATGGTGGCACCCCACAAGCTTCATTTTTACAATCCTCATCTTTCTTTTCCTGTTTCTGTTTTTTTTTTAAGCTGGGTTGGTGATAGGATCCTTTGAAACCACAGCTGCTCTTGTGTCTTTTTATTTGGATTTATTTGCATTTTAAAATGTGGACATTTTTCAAGCCATCAAACATTAAATACATGCTACTGGCATGTCGCAATAAAAGGTAAATGTATTAACTGCCACCCCACCCAACTAAAACTGCATCGCATATCATCCAACCCTAACAATCTTTGGCTAAAACATTTTGAGAGCAAATACATTTAAATACCCTCCTACACAGCCTGATGCTCTTTTCGTGATGAAAGTCAACACGTAACTTTTGCCTTGTTCCCATTGGATTTTTTTGGGTCAACTTACCCTGATGACTTTCCTGTAGAATTACAAACTTAAATCAAAAGGGAACGCACAACTAACGTCCCTATTTACTTACTAACAGGCCGAAAAGGGTCACGGAAGATTTCTGCGCAGCCACAGTAAGTTACCAGGGGCACAAAAAAGTCCAATGGGAACAGTTCCTGTACAATGTAGATTGAATGCGACCACGCTATACATACGAACCAGAGTACTGCCTACGAAGAGATCGATAGTAGGCACATGAAGTTGGTTGGACGGTTCCCAGTCTCCAGCTCCATGCGTACAGTACAGGCAGCATGCCGCGCACACAGAGTTAAGCGTGCCCCAATAAAGCTATACATACAATGAGTAGGAGGCTTTTCCTGTACGGGTTTGTCTTCTTTGTGGCAGATTTGGCTGAATTCGTCTGATTTTGTCTTTGTTTTGTCAGATTTTGCCGATTTCGTCATGATTTGTACAGCGCAGCCAATGTAATCAGCTGGTCTTATTAGGCCTAACACAGCGAATAAACATTCCGTTATGATTAAAAAAAATCCACGTGGAAATGCGTGGTAGATTGACACAAAGGAATGTCGCGGTAAGTTTCCGTATGCCAGCGGAAGAAAAAGTCCGATGGAAGCACGCCTTTTATGTTATCATTTGACCTAAAGACAAGTCACTGTACTTACTCTTCCTCAATCTTAGGCTCAAACATCGGCAGGGGCTGCGGCCGTTTTTTCTCACGCTGCAGGTGGGGCTTGGGCCGGACACTCAGCGAGGTCAGCTGCCCCAGCAGTGACCCATGCAGCTCCTAAGGTCAAAAGTTCAAGGGTCAGACAGAGGTTCAAGTCAAGAAATGTTAAAAACTTCAGTGATTCCACATTGCCACTTTCGCAGAAATTGAGAAGATTTCGGTCAGGTTTTGGCTCATGCCAACTGAGTGTCAATGTATTTCAAGTGAATTTGACATTTGACATTAAGACTTTTTGGCTAGTTGCCAAGATTTGACTGGCCCAATATATGCAACTTGACCAGGTTGTATATTTCCACAAACGTGCAATCGTAGCCATGGTAAGTCACAGTATTCTAAAATCATTTCTGCCTGCTTGTCAGTTTCCAAGCAAACTGCAGTACAGCGGATGTAATGCACAATTACTTGTTCCTTGTTGTTGCCTGGACCCAGGCCCCTTTGCTACTCACAGAATTGTTCACAAACATGTATTTGTACAGTCAGCATTCTGAGCTTGCAATGCTAAGGCAGAAATTCTGGCATTTAACAAGTCAACTGAGTGGCCTTAATACCAAGAAGTTGGGTTGGGAAAAAGAGAAGATACAAGTACGAGCAGCTTTTCTCATGTAATTTATCCTCCACAAAATTATTTATTAAACACAGTATGCTGTGGAGGACTTGAATCCATGACCTCCTACTTATTAGTGAAGACGAGTTTCCCTTCCAATGCACCCACCTTGTCCAAGTGGCCCAGCCAGTCCCAATCCCATGTAGGAGTGAGTTCCAAGAGCAGTGTTAAAGGCCAAAGGCCAACATTTCAAAACAGCCACCTCCTCAATGGGAACCTTTATCAAGGCCAACATTTATCTCATGAACTTCTCACAGCTGCGAGTGGCATACCTCGACATCTTCAGGGTATCTTTCGACTGGAATGTGTTTGGCTTCTAGCCACCGCCTCACTGGGTCGAAGATCTCTGGAGCGCTGGCCAACCCCGCGTAGAGCGTGGCAAACTCCGAGAGCAGGCTGAGAGTGGCGTGAAGGGCCCAGCAACGGAACTCGTCCGTCTCCAGCTCCCTCGGCTCCGCTTGAGAGAGCACCTCCAGAATGCGCTGGGGCTTGACCTTCATATTTCTTTTAAAAAAGAAAGAAAAGGAAACACGTACACACTTAGCAGTCAGAGAGTTTTAGAAAACAATCTCAACTCTTGCCCTATTGCCCATCTCCACAGTGCTAATTATAAACCAGCTCTTTTGGAAAAATTGAAATCCTCAATGAAACACCATTGCTGGTTGAAATAAAGGTATGGATTGTTATTGTAGGACATCAATGATCTAGTTGAAAGTGGTTAGTTCTATGCATGTTTCCACCTTACAATTGGCAATTACCTTGTGACCTTGTCGCTGTTTGACTGTAACCTGAGAAGATCTATATACCTCCCTACAGGCTTGAATGGAGGGATGACGTTGTAGATGCGACCAGGTTCCTTGTCTGCAGCAAGGAACAGTAGACCCCTCAAGTGGTTGATGACCTCCGGGACAAACCTCTTGGACAGTCGGATGTACTGGGTGAGCGGGACAGAATCATTTCAAATCAAAGTTTGAAAGGGCGAGGAAAGGAACATTTGGCAAGTAAAATCCACAATCAAAACATTGCAGGTCAGGTCTTGGATGAAGTCCACGTTTTTTTAATCTGTGACAGAAAGCTTGAGAATGGAAACAGGTTACCCAATACATGCAGCTCATCAGTTGATGCAGTCTTATAACACTGCATGCACCTCACTGTCGGCTACAATTACATTTACACCCCACAAACATATCACTCAGTACACTTCAGTGTAAAACAAGCATCAGTTGTCAACACAGACTGATGAGCATATCACTGTCTTTTGTTTCAGCAGAAACTGTTCATAAGAGACCAAACCTGTGAACTATTGAGTATACACCGTCGCCGTTATAAAAGTACAGAAAGGCTAGTGGGCTACATGCTCAACATATGCACCTCTCCACTTGCATGTGAAATGTCTTTATAGATAAAATACAAAGTAACAAATATTCAGTATATGAGACTGGAATTGTACAAGTTTGCATTTGAATGACCAGATTGAGCTCTTCTGGTTTGATATATTACTCAGTTTGACATCCTCATAAAAGTGCGGATCTTTTGAGTAACACTGAAAAGATTTCTTTAAAAGCCACTATTATGTTCAAAGGCTGCTCTGGGAAATTGCAACTTACTTTGTTCGGTCGGTAATGAAAAGTTCTTCACCTCTCATGGGGCGTTATTCTGAGCAAGTTCAGTAACAAAGACAACAAAAACTTTCTTGGTCGCAAACCTTTAAAAACAAACTGCATACAAACAGGCCCGACGCCACATCCCTGTATGTCCGCACTGGGCACTGTGACAGGATCTGACCCATGAATAACATCGCTGGGGTCACCACGGCGTGACGGAAGTCGGAGGTCGAGAACAGTGCACCCACCAATTTGAAGTACAACAGCTACAAAACAAGGAAACAACAGGAAAGCATTAAACCCCATGTCTATAACATGTCTGTAACATGTCTATAACATGCCTGTAACAT